GCCTAAGATAGTTTTATGAGCCTTGTTGAACACGTGTACCTCCTATTAAAATGGTGAGAGAGGGTAAAGCCTGGGCTTTCCCCTACATAATATGTAAGCTTTTGGACTCAGAATGTCTGAGTTTGGAAAGTGGGGAGGGCCAAGTGGGTCTTGGTGGGTTTGGGTCACTACTAGATGAGATAACACTTCACCAGACCAAGAGTGAAGGTCTCCCTCCTGAAAGAGTTTTCTTAACATATGCATGTGAGGCTTACAGTGTTGAGCTGGGAGGAAAAGGGGAGATGAGGGAAGAGATTTGGGAACTTAAAATAATTTTACAATAAATAATAGTTTCTGTGAAAGTCAGTCTTAAATGTTCAGGCATTGACGTGTGTGTGTGTGTGTGTGTGTGTGTGTGTGTGTGTGTGTGTGTGTGTAAATTTATATAGAGATATAATTTAAACTCAGGAATACGTGCATGACCACAGGGGATGTGGGTCCTTGGGTCATGACCACTTTTAGATCATAATCTCAAGGAGTTGTTGGGTAAACCATGGTCAGACAGTACAAGGATATGGGGTTTTTGTTTGTTTTAAATCATGTTTATTTAAGAATAATTTATGTGCAGTAAAATTCACCTTTTTTAGTGTACAGTTCTAAGGGTTTGACAAATGCATGTAGTCATGAAGCTACCACCACAATCAAGATACAGAACATTTCTATCCCCCTAAAAGTTCTTTCATGCCCCTTTGTGGATAACTCTGTTTACCATCCACAGCCCTGCAACCACTGATCTGCATTTTCCCCCCTATAATTTTGTCTTTTGCAGAATGTCAATAAAGCTTTTTTTGACCTTTAAACCCAGGTCAAGTAATAGCAGCTCTTTTAGCATCTTATAGCCCTTATCACAATTATAATTATACTGTATATGCATTTGGTTAATACATTGTTCAATATCCATCTCTTCTGCTAGTACGTGTGAGGCGTGTGTGAGGGCAGGAATTGTCTGGCTTGTTTGTTACTGTATCCTCAGCAGTACAGTCGAGTAGATGCGTCACACATATTGCTTAATGAACAAATGAATGAGTGGTTCACTGACTATAAAGAAAAGTCCTCTAAGTCACTATTGACTCAGCAAAAGCAATGTGATATTTAGTGATATGAAATCTATTCTGTTGTAAAGCACCCAGAGACCATATTATTCAAATGTTGCTGAAGAGTATGCGTGGAGTTTTAGCATTATTTTGGGTCTGAATATTAGCAATCAGATCCCAGGCTATCCCAGGTGCGCAGTCAGTACATTTAATTAATTGAAAATAAAATGGGGAGAAAATCTTTAATCATTTAACACTGTCTTTTGCCATTATTTTGTCTGACTGCATATTTAAAGGTGTTTATTTTATAATGTTTACATCCCATATATTTTGTAGCAAATCTGACATCACAGTGATACTTAACAGTAAGATCATGAAATCCTCAAAATCAAGCTTATTTTCTACATGCTCTTCAAGTTCAGAAAGGTGGTCTTTGTATTTTGGTTTGGTTTCTTGTCCCTGTACAAATAAAGAAGAAAAAGCAAAAACCTAATTCATTGTGCCACCTTGTTTTTACAGATAATAAGGAAGAACTTGTCAAGTTGCTACCAGTGTTACTGGTCAAGCACTGTGTCAAATCTTTTCCTGGGTCATCTCATTGAATCCTGGCAGTGACCTTATTGAATATGTACTATCTTTATCCCCACTCCACAGACACAGTATCAGAGACTCAGCAAGATTTAAGTAACTTGCTCCAACCGAGGCAGCTTCTGGTGNAAGATAAAGGAAATATTGAAAGGAAGACATTTTGGTGACATTCAGGACATCAAGGGTAATATGATGACAGCTCTGATGGCCATTCCAGAAAAAGGGTTACAAAATTGCTTTGAAGGGTGGACTGGGCACTGGCATCAGTTAATAGCTTCCCAAAGGGAGTACTTCGAAGGTGCTGTAATGATATTCAGCAATGATGTATGTAGCACTTTTCATAGGATGAATTCGCGAACTTCGTTGTCATACTTTGTATATCACATTAATGTAGTTTCTCACACTGTGTATGTAGCTCAGTGATCCTCCCTTTTTTCCAGTTAACATATGTCATAAACATTTGTCCTTGCCATTCAGTGGTTAAAAAAATAAACAACATTTTAAGTTGTGACAGGCCTGTTGGTTACCTTTGTAGAAAAAATATTGATGCCTTATTCACATGTTTCAAAATAAATTCCATATGGATTAAAGACTTAAATGTTCTAATATATATATATATATATATATATATACATATATATATATATATATATATATATATATATATATATATATATATAATTTTATTGGGGAATTGGGGGAGGGGAACAGACAAGTTGCTGTCCTTTTGTTCTTCAGTCTAGTTGTGGAGGACGTTGCTTCACTGGCCCCTGTTGTTATTATGATCATTGCACTCTTCCCAGGTGAGGCAGATCGGTCACCAGCCATTGAACGGCCACTCACGGCGGCTCATGGAAGCTCACGGCAACTCATGGCAGCTCTTGCTGGCTGCCAGCCACTCACGGTAGCTCATGGCAGCCCACTGCAACAGGGGCTGCAGCCTACGCCGTCTCCAGCCACTCACCGCACCCCAGCTCCAGGTGGAGCTGTTGTCACAATTTTAGCTGTAGAAGACGCAGCATCAATGGCCCATGTGGGAGCCAAACCGGCAGCCCTGCTGCATAGAGCTTGCGCTCCCAAGCCAACTCTTAACCAACTGAGCCACTTGGTCGGTCCTAAAAAATAGTTTTAAGAAAATGTAAATGAATCAGGCTCACCAGAGCTTGAATCAAGGTCCAATCATTCACCAGCCCTGTGACCTGGGCAGTTCACTTAACTTCTCTGAGCCTCTGCTTCTTAGTCTATAAAAATGGAAATGATACAGTTTCTAAGTCAGAGGGCTTTTAGAGGATTAAACGAAGGGTCTAGCACTATGCCTGCCAATATAATATGCCTTCAATAAATGTTAGATATTGCTATTGTGTGTAGAAAGAGAAAAAAATTGTTCAATATTTTTTTAGGAGATTAGTAGTTCCCACTTTCCACCCCCAAAATGACTCTTAATAACCCATTCTATCTAAATAACCAGATCCCCTCAACCTCCACTCCATTTTGACAAGAGAGGTTTATTCTAATTGGTATTTAAGGAGGAATTGGTTTTACTCTTATATGTGGCTCGGAGTGAGTTAAGTCAGCTTCAAATTAAGTTCAGAAACGAGAATATTGTCTTCCTTCCTCTCAGCTTACGTTTTCTTTATTATAGAATCACAAATGAGAGTTTTGGGGTATGAGTCTGCATATCTAGAAGGGACAGAAATCTGACTTCCATAACCAGTCTCCAGTCTCCAAAGAAAAAAGCTGGCATAATTACTAAGCAAAAAGAGTGAGTGAATTCTATTCCAGAGCCTTGGGTTCAATTTAGTCCAATCCACTCACCCAATGAAGCCAGAGTTGTTTGCAACTCAATATGAGGTTGTTGACACACAAATATTTTTCATTTGCTCCACATCCAGCTATACAATCAGTGTATTTAGGTGTAAATGATAAAGCTGGACAGCAGCATTTAATCAGAAAGTGCAGAACAATATGTGGGAGATTAAAGAAGCAGTTGTCACTTCCAAGAAATTCAAGAGTGACTATTTCAGCAACTGTGAAACACAATGTCTTAGGGTTAAAAATTACCTTGGAGAGGTGCACAGTTTGGACAACAGACTCTTCACCAATCTGTTGATAGCCTAACAGTATTTGAAAAAGTAAGAAAGTTATTGTTGAGAACAGAGTAACATGAGAAAATCTAAAATTTGTTGACTATTATTGTGACAAGATATATAAGAAACAAGAGTAAACAAATTAGGATAGATTTTGCTGGAAGCTGTTATTAGCTCCAACATTTGGTTGAGAATATACCAGGTCTGACAATTAAATTTGCGAACTCATCCTAGAAAAAGTTCTATTGTACATAATTCATTACTAAATATCACTACAGTTACCTTCAAAGGACACCCCTTTGAGAAGTTATGCTCCAATGCCAGCACCTAGTCCACCCTTCAATTTTGGAACTCTTTTTCTGAAATGGCCATCAGAGCTGTCATCGTATTACCCATGGTGTCCTGAATATCATCAAAATGTTTTCCTTTTGATATTTCCCTTATCTTTGGGTAAAGAGAAAAGTCATTGGGGGCCAGATCAGGTGAGTAGGGAGGGTGTTCCCATATGGTTATTTGTTTACTGGCTAAAAACTCCCTGATAGACAGTGACATGTGAGCTGGTGCATTGTCGTGATGCAAGAGCCATGAATTGTTGGTGAAAAGTTCAGATCGTCTAAATTTTTCACGCAGTCTTTTCAGTACTTTCAAATAGTAAACTTGGTTAACTGTTTGTCCAATTGGTACAAATTCATTATAGATAATCTCTCTGATATCAGAAAAGGTTAGCAACATTGTTTTGACTCTTGATTTGGACTGATGGAACATTTTTGGTCATGGAGAATTGGCTGACTTCCATTGTGCACTTTGATGCTTTGTTTCAGGGTTGTATTGATACACCTATGTTTCATCACCAGTGATAACATGGCCCAAAACATCACCTTGCCTCTCCAAAAGGTCTTGGCAAACTTCGAGTCTCCTTTGCTTTTGTTTATCGGAGAGCTCTTTTGGGACCATTTTTGCACACACCTTTCTCATGCCAAGATTTTCAGTTAATATTTTCATAACTGTTTCTCTATCTATGTTTACTTGGTCTGCTATGCTTCTCACAGGCAGCCGATGATTTTGATGCACAATTCGACAAATTTTTGCATTGTTTTCATCAGTTCTGCTCATTACTGGCCGCCCTGACCTCTTTTCATCAGTGACACGTTCTCTCCCCTCAGAAAAATGTTTAATCCATTTGTACACTGCCGTTTTCTTCATGGCATTATCCCCATAAACTTGGCCTAACGTGTCCCTGATTCCACTTCCACTCTTGCCAAGTTTAAGAAGAAATTTAATGTTTGTTCATTGCTCTAATTCAAGCTCAGACATTCTCACGACGGCACACAAAGGCACGCAACAACAATAATGAACTTCTCTCAGCAAGACACTGTCACACATCGACATGAACATATTGTAGCTGTGAGATACTGATATACCAAGGTTACGAAACCTTACCAAGCTGTTTGTACAGCGCTGCCAATGTAAGCACATGGTGAAAAGTTCTTGAACTTAATTATCCGACCTGTATATATGGAAAGAAAACATGTGGGGGAATATATATCATATATACACACATACATATATAATATATGAATATGTAGATAAATATAACATATAAAAAATATATCCACCACTCCCATGTTTTAGCTTTTAGTTTTAAATTGGCATCTTTAGTTAACTAATTTATCTGTTGGTGCTGGGAATCCTATTGTAAGTAACAGCCCTCCCTTCTACCCATTGATTATTTTTTATCATTTTATTTTCATTATGGATTAATGCATTTGCATTCATTTTTCCAGTTGTTTATAACTCATTACTAGCCTTAATGGTTTGATGCCTAAATTGTCTTAGGTTTGGCCACTGGAGCCCCATTCAGCTAGCTCTTGTGTCCTTGTGAAATATCCCCATTGTTTTTTGAGCATTTTCTTTCTTTCTGGCACAAGATGTTCCAGTTTCATCTTGTACCTTTCCTGGTCCTGCCCTGAAATCAGCCATTTCTCCTGGGATCCCTGGTTACTTTTTGTTTCCCTGTTCACTCTTACTTTTTGTTTGCTATTCACTCTTACTTCTGCATGGTGGACTTTGGGATACTTGTTAAAGTACTTTTTGTGCTTTCTTGTTTTGCTTGAATTTTTAAAATAAGAACATATCTCTTTTTTCCCCCCACAAAAGGTATAATGATATTAGAAAAAAACCAACAACCACTCTGAACCAGCTCTCTGCTGAGGTGAAGCTTCCAAATTGTACCCTTTCCCCACTTCTATTTCTCCTTCCCTACTGCCTGCACTTTGTAGGATGGGAGAAGTAGCCCCTTTGGCTCACATCAGACCTGTAATCTTGGGAAGCTCAGGCAGGAACTCTTCAGGGAGGTTGGTAGTTAGCACAACTGCAAACATGAAAACATAAGGTCTAAAAGTTAAATGAAAAGAGAGGTTTTTCTCCCTCCTAAGAGCTAAAGTGGGATGCAGAAGGCCTTTTTGCTCTCTGCACACAGAAGTGACCCTTCCAGTAGGTGACAGATGAAGAGGGCAGTTTCTCAGCCACTATGAGCTTTAGGTCACTCTCCCACTGAAATTCATCAGAACAGAGCACAAAACCTAATTACAGTCCCTTTTGGTTGAAGTGGTAGGACTTCCAGCACTATGTTGACTAAAAGTGATGAGAGTGGACATCCTCACCTTGTTCTTGATCTTAGAGGAAAAGCTTTCAGTTTTCACTGTTGAGTATGATGTTAATTATGGGCTTTTCATATGTGGCCTTTATTATGTTAAGGTAATATTCTTTTATCCTAATTTGTTC